TGATTTAGGGTTCTCTCAAGTGAAAGTAGTTTAACCGGTAAATAGGTTCATTATCGCGATGAAAAAAAAGGTTGAACCACCTTTTTTGTCATAGACTAGTTCTTATTGGCTTAGTTTACTAGGAAAACAGGTGCTGTTGTAAATCCGGAGCGAATTAAAAAAATTATTCAATCACTTATGTGATTGGTCACATGGGCGGACAGACAGACAAAATTTTGCTTAGCCCTCTAGTCATAGGACGACATTCATATGATTGGTAGATCTACCCGTGATTTCCCGTGATAATTAGCCAATCAAAATACATAAATTTTAAAAAGATTTATCGGTTTAATACTACTAGAAAACGTAGAAAACGAAAAGAACTTCACATTAAGAAGCTTACAAACTAATAAAGTACACAAAAAGAATTTGTCTCATTTTAGAAATAGTTAAATAACATGTAAATTGATATTTATTATTAATAAACCCAAGCTCAAAAAATTCAATGTGAATAAATTATTAATGAAGCATCTTTTATTCTTTATTACATTTTAAAAAGTAATTAAAATAATTCTATCTTATTTTAAGTTATCATGCTTTTATTAAAGATGCGGTATAACCCATGTAACCCTTAGCTCATATAATTATTAATAAAACAATAGCACATACAGATTATCGACTATTATTTAACCCAAAGTTGCATTTATTACTCTCGTAATATAACTCTATAAACGTAAAATATATAGTAAACGTTAGTAAAGCCCATTATTATTATAATATATAGCATATTAAACAGTACACTCAAAGTTTAAAGCTTTGTTTCAATCTTCTTTTTTTATTGACCGTTTTTGGCATTTAAAACTTATATATAGTTAATATAACTAGTATTAGCAGTATATAGTAAAAATATTCGCTCCTAAGTGAAGTTCTTGGAGAGGTGGATTATTTTGAATTAATTTTAACAGTGAATATCTACGTTCGTTTAGAGCTAGAATTTGCTTTCATAGTGAATTTTTTGTTAGTGAAACGTTACGTTCTCAAAAAGTACTTTAAAGTGTATAAATAAGTTACCCGGGCAATTGATTTACATTAGCCAATCAGAAGAAAGTCGGCCTATGACCGAAAACCTTCTCCAAACCCCTAATTTAAACTTTAAAACCTAATCCTAACTTTAATATTCTAAATAGAAATCTATATAAAAACTTACATTGGGTTTATAAAGTTTTATAAATTTAAATAAAAATTCTACATAACTTTATGTAAAAATTTTATATAGATCTGTGTAAAAATGTATTTCGTGATGGTAAAAGATAATATACAAAACCCGGGTTTGTCACATTTCACTGATATTAAAACTATAATAGACCCGGGGTCTAGTACACGGCTGAGCGTTTATATTGTAAATTCTAAAGTATATACATGGTTTGCATTTGTAATAAGCAGTCTAGGTTTTTAAAACATCTGCATTTATTTAATAGAGATCTTGTGATTCATACACGGGTCTAATTCATAGGGGATCTTTTATATGATCTTTTACGGTAGAAGGCATCAACAATAGAATTAAATGAAAATAAAAATAGAGTCGAAACTTCCTTTGAATTAAAAAGTTAAGTTTTTATGATTGCATCTTTTCTTTTTCCAATAGCCAGTAAAATTTTTTTGCATGTTTTCATTAATTCATTCTCTTTTGGGTCAGCAATAATATTACTGTATTATTGAGGTTATAAGGTGATAAATTTATGTACTTTAATTAGTTAATAGTCATGTTTTAAATGTTTGACCCTGTAGTCCTTTTTATATTTTCGGTGTTGAACTTTTCGTTAGTCTTTCGTATTTTAATCAACAATCGAAAAAAAATGATTTAAATAATTGGGTCAAATAAAGTTATTATACAAATTTACTGGCGAAAAAACAATACGAAAAACTTATTCTGCTCAACTATTTATGTAGATATCCTTAAATAACACATTTCTATTGGTTATTTATCATTTGTACATGTCAAATTACTGTTTAAATTTTTGGAATCAATAATTATAAATGATTTTACATTGTCAATATCTTTAAAAACAAGAAGCATTTATTAACATGTAACTTTTGCAAAACTTTGTCAAGAATCAAAAGTTATCTAAAACATAATTTGAAGTATACATATGAGATAATTAAGATTAACGTTTAAATATCTCAAATAATTAATTTTTTAACACTATATAAAGCATCGCATCACACCTCTATTTCTGTAAAGCTAATGATCAAAATTTATCCAATACTAGCAATTTATTTAGGTATCATTATTATAATTTTCTAATTTATAGGACTCAATATTTGATTATAAGGTATTTATAAAAGTTTAGCTCTACAACCACCACATCCAGGTCTCCCTCCAACAAAATTTGCATAATGATCTGCTGAATATGTACAAAATTCCTCTGCATCTGGATCATTTACTGATTCGGCAAAGCAAGATTTAGTTTTAATATTATATCCCCATCCAATGCAATTAGAATCTGCCGAACATTTTCTGCAGCAATCTTCTAAACTTACTGCATTATAACTCATACTATAAAAAGCTCCTGGTAATTGGTTTATAATTCCAGGTCCGCCTGTATCACAACAATCCAATGCAGCTGTTGGTGTGGGTTTTGTAATTTCTGATGCTGTTGGTTTAGCAAATAAAGTAGACGCTACAATAGTTTCTAAGAATCCAGCAGAGATGGTATTATTATTGATTTGCAAATAATGACCATTATTACAAATAGGAGTTTCCGTGAAATTTTGTCCCTGATAATTATTAAATTGTTTAAATTCTGTGATTACGATCGCATTTTCGCTTTTCTTATCTTCAGCTTTAGTATTTATTGCCGTAAAGCAAACTATCTGAATGATTAAAAATAAGCGCCAAATGCTATTCACATTCATTGCGAACAAGACTTTCAGTAAAAAGAAGGTTCGAAAGAAACTTGTATTAATGAATGTATCATATACTTAAAATTTCATGGAAAAAATGTATTGAAAAGAACGAAGAAGTGTACACATCGCAGATAACAAAAAAGTTGATGCTATTTACATGTGAACTTGATTTGTTTGTCTCAAGAATTAATGTCGTGTGACCTTGTCAGTTAGCTTATGCTGTATAAAGATATTTATGTATTACTGTATTACTGTATTACTGATGATACATTGAACCAATTAAAATAAACCAATACACGGATTTGTTTATTCTTACGTTCACTTTTTATCATTTTTTTTTAATAAAATGAATAGTACACAATTCACATAATTTGACTTTTATTTTACAAATTCGTAAGTACGTACGGAAATACTATAATAGATAATTATAAATTGAATCTTTTCATATATGTTAAAGTTTGAATTAAAGCTAAATAAAGTAAAACTTGACAACTCAATCTTTATATATATATATATATATATATATTGATACTGTATCTCACATAAACAAGAAATATGAAGCATAACTTAAAATATTATTCGAGCACTAAATATTGTTAACATGTTCTTTAATATCAATGATGACGTATATAGTGACGTATTGATGCCACTTCCAAAATTTTATATGACGTAAAGATGACATAAAAGGGGGTCGTCTAAAGCGGAGCGGAATCACGTGATATACGACCAATCAAATTATAGAATTTTGATGATCGCCGACGAAGCAAAACAATGAAAATACAAAAAATAGCAGTCTAAACCCACCTTGGGTAAGCTAAGTAAAAATGTCGGGAAGGTAATTTTGCTTATATATAACTATCTAAAGCCTGCTCTAACCATAATCCAAGATGACCATAACTTTAAAGTTAATTCGATAAAATATATATTAGACGTCCCCCATAAAAGGTAGCTAACTTTGACCCCTGCATCTATAATTGGCTCTTTTTTTTATATACGAGAAACACTAAACTCTCTTATGAGAATCAGCATTAACATCTAATAAATCTTAGAAGTTCGATTTTCTTTTGGCATCTCATATAGATCTTTTTCATTTAAATTATTATATCTTAGTGAATGAATCGGCCATCCTGGTAAAAAAAAAATCCAAAAAGTCCAAAACGCTACTACTAATTTTGCCATAATATAATTGGCTAATATTACCGACGTATTCAGATTCTAAATTTTAGCCGATCAGTTAATCTATCCCAAAAAAAGCAATATGCAAACTTTTTGATAGTATGCATTTAGAAATAAGGCAAATTGCACCAGAGCTTGAGGTTGCATTTAGAGAGGTACGTATTGCATTTAGGGAGGTTGCATTTAGGGATGTCTGGCTGTATTTAGCATGGTGCAATGTCTAATTAAGTCCTTAAATTAATGCCTAGAAACTTTATTTCTAGTTTTGTGCCTTTTTTTTTTTTTTTTGACAATATAAAGATTGTTATCATAAACCCACGAAATAACGCAACTCCAGCGCACTTGCACATTACTGTATTTCATGTTCGTATAAATTCTTTTATATATTATATGTGGGTGTGCGTTATTTCGAGACGCGTTATTTTGAAATGTTTTGAAGGATCCGACTCCAAAATAACGTCGTTGTTTCTATTTCGCGGTTTTACGGTAGATTAATGTGACAGTGAAATTCTGATAAGGATAGTATCGTAGAAGATTGTCTTCAATTACTCAGTTGTAGACGAAAATATGCGAATCTGAAAGATTGTGCATTATTAAACAAAAAGAAAAACTCTAATTGAGGCGTACCGTACGACTTGGCAATCAAGATATGATTCCATTTGAGTACTGCACGAGCAAGACAATTTTAGAAGCATTTAAATACTTAATCGGGGCCAGGCAATTTTTTTTAAAAAACCTTTTATACAGTACTTTAAAGAATTTATTGCTTTCGTATTTTTTAAAAATTTTTTTTTAAAAATAAAAATACAGAAAATGAACTTTAACAGAATAGCAATCATTTAGGATGTTGCTTATAATAAACACCAAAAATACAGAATTCACTGGTTCATTGATAGTTATTTCTCCGACTTTTAATCTTAACCAACGCTAACCTAACTTTAATTTTCTGAAGATGCACCGACACCAAAGTTATCAAGCTTGTTCAACACTTCCTTTAAATACTTTTCACGATTTAACAAATCCTCCCTTTGATTCTTTATATTTTCATCTTCTTCGGCCAACTCATTGATCGTTTCATCATCATTATTCGCAAAAGCTTCCATTAATTTTTCTTTAATTCGATCACTAAATTGATTTATAAACGAATAAATTATCGTTAAAGGGATAATATCAACGTAGCGTTTAATTGCAATTTTTAAGTATGCCATAATTGATGCTGCGACATTTAATGTATCTGTAGGGGTTTTATTCGTAATTTCTTGTTGTGCTGTTTTGCGAAGAGATTCCAAATACTCCATTTTTAAGTCATTCATTAATTTTTCATCAAGCGTATATGGATAGGTTGTTATTTCCATTTGATATAAATGGGTAATATTATTTGACGCTTGTTGTTTACATTCATCTAGCCATGCTCGTCCCTTATTTCTTTGAAACGGATTTGAAAGTTATTAATTTTAAAATAATACAATCTCTTGTAAAATAAATAACGATTCTTACCTCATAAGTACTACTAATTTGGGAAATCTTAAAAAGGTACTTTCTATAGTCATATTGACTAATTCTACCATTATTCTGTGTGCAGCATTTAAACAATTCGTGGAAGGTATATTCCATTTTTTTTTGCAATTTTTAATTATCATCTCTACAGCCGGATAAGGAATAAAACCCGGGAGTAATATCCCACGAGCATTTCTCATTATCTCGGTTATGTCCGATCCTTTGATCTCATATAATTGATCTATATTATTGGATCTATTATTAGATCTGGAACTACTGGGTCCGTTTCCATTATCAGCTGTGGGATACTCTCCTTTCTCTTTAAGCAAGTCAAATTTTGCGAGTGAACTTTTCTTAGTTGCTTCATCTACTATACAACCAACTACGAAAATTGGACGTAAATTATAAAACTCTTCTCTGAATTGTTCGAATTGTTTGTTAAGTTGATTCCATAAATCAATATCTGATTTAATATTCGTAAAGCATGTTTGTACCATGCGGATTAATTCCATCTTCGGATCATCTAATAAAAGTTGCTTGGGTAGTTCACTCAACCTTTGACGCACCTAATATATTATAAAAAATAAATTAAAAATAGTAAATTTTAAAATAGCCTTACTGCAGTATTATAAATATATAATTACCTCTTCTAATTTATCATTAACAGTTTTTTGAATATTTGGAAGATCTCTTTTTATTGCTTTAATTAACAATTTAGATAATTTATTTTGTAAATTTTTAATTCCAATCCTTTCTTGTAAATGAAAACGATTCCACGGTTCTTCATTTTCAAAAAACTATTATTGAAAGAAAAAAAATTAGTTATTATAATTTTTATTTAAGTATTAAAATAAAATCAAACACGAACTCTACTCTCATCTTCTCGAGCTTCTTCAAATGTAATACCATCATTAAGCTGTTTCTTAGTTGGGTTTTTTATGATGTAGTATCCGAGATCAAGTTTATAAGCTTCACCTTGCAAAATCTTTAACCATATTTCATGTGTATCTTCTTCTATTTGATCAGGTTTGGTAAGAACGCCTAGTGTGCGAATCCCTCCTGGGTCAGCTTCTTTTGCATAAGTGACAATTGGCTGATTTTCTACTTCGTCCTTACATGTAATCGTTGCAATTATAATAGATTTATCATTTTTAATGTAATCTCTTACGAGTTCTTCTATTAATCCAATAAACCTTCTATCTTCGGATCTATCAACATGTTCTAAGTAGTATTAAAGTAGTGTTGAAGAATATCTAATATTTAACTAATCATTATTGCAAAAAAAAAAACAATACATGTAACATAAGAAGTGTTAAGTTCATAAACTTACGTATAATTCCTGGTAAATCGATTAAACTTAAGTTTGGGACATCGGGACCTTTAATTTCGATGCATACAACATTCTTGGTAAATTTGAGAGCATTTGATTTAGAATCCTCATCATAACTTGTATTTTCGAACTCCCAATCAAGGTATGCATCGCTATTATCTGTAGGATTTAACAAGGCTTTTTGAGCACGTCGTGCCATTATTTCGACTTCATCTGGGTTATCTATTGATTCACCAAATTTCGTCTCTCTTGGATGACTAAGGCGTTTTCCGTTTTCATCATATTCTTTTCGCAATGAAAATTGGCATGACCAATGCCTAGCTGATTCAATAAGTCGAAGCTCCATAACACAGCGAGTGCAGGTTCCATCGGACCTAGGTAACTAAGATAATGTTTATTTTTATGCATCCTGATTTCAAGACATAGCATTGGAGTAATACAGCAATAATAGCTTTATATACCTTAACACCAGAAATTGCTTCAAGCACGCTACTTTTTCCCACCGATTGATTTCCACAAAAAACGATAGTAGGAAGATTAATAGTAAATTGAGCACCAAGACGGCGCAAATCATTTAAAATTTTAACATAGTTTGATGCCTCCCTCGTATATTGAAAATTTGTTGCATCAATTTGTACCATAATGATTTTCTTAACAATTTTCTAACGTTAAGGTGAGAAGATCTTTCACAGGTTTTTATATATTTAATGGTATCATTTTTAGAATCAAAGGGAAATTAGGAAACGTTACACCTTATTATAATTTAACAATGCCTTTAAGTTTCTATCTGCGTTTTGGATATTAGTGGCTAAGATAAACCTTTTGCGGACACAATGACAAACTCTATTTGACTAATAATGGTTAGATTAACCCCATTAAATTATTGTAATCAAGCCAGGGCATGGGTATCGTCATCCATTTCTGCTGCGTCTGACCCAAAATTTGTTTGTGATTATGCAATAAATATGCGACTTTTTTAACCTAAACAGAAAACAAGTTATTTCCATAACCTTCCAATTGACGCGTCCTTTATTTGACGATCCATAAATTTATCGTACTAACCTCATTTATATTTAAAGTTTTGATAACGATAATTTAAAATTTCAAACCCTTTATATAATTAGGTTTATTCGCAGTAAAATATGCGGTGATTCTTGGCGTGGGATTTTACTATCATATAATCTAAAATTATACAAATGAAAAAGTCATGATTATTTGTAACAACCGTTTATTTTAAATAGATAAAAAAAAAACTTTTATTTTTATCAACGATCTATATTCCTGTGAATTTTTCTATATTTATTCTGATATTATCGTTAAATCTAAAAACAAACAATAATTTTTTACGAATATATATTTCTATAAGTAAAATCCAGTCAACACTTTTTTTTCATAAATCAATAATTATATAAATTTAAAATGGAGAATGCTGATGAAATTTATAAGCTCGGTTATAATTATCAAAATGGAATTGGAGTTGAAAAGAATGAAAGTGAAGCATTTAGTTATTATCAAAAATCTGCCAATATGAATAATGCTTATGCAATAAATGCACTTGGTAATTGTTATATTGGTGGAATTGGAGTTGAAAAGGATGAACGTACAGCATTTATTCAATATCAAAAATCTTATGAGATGGGTAGTGTTCATGGTACATATAATGTTGGTTATTGTTATCAAAATGGAATTGGTGTTGAAAAGAATGAACGTGAGGCATTTAACTATTATAAAATATCTGCTGATAAAGGACATTTTAAAGGAACATGTAATATTGGTTATTGTTATGAAAATGGAATTGGAGTCGAGAAGAATGAAAGTAAGGCATTTGATTATTATCTAAAATCTTCTGGGATGGGTAGTTCTTACGGGGCATATAATGTTGGTTATTGTTATCAAAACGGAATTGGAGTTGAAAAGGATGAACTCCAAGCATTCGTTTATTATCAAATATCTGCTGATAATGGTGATTCTAGTGGGATGTATGCACTTGGAAACTGTTATCTTGACGGAATTGCAGTTAAAAAAGACGAACATAAGGCATTCAGTTACTATCAAAAGTCTGCCAATATGGGCGATTCTAATGGAATATGTGCACTTGGTAACTGTTATCAAAATGGAATTGGAGTTAAAAAGGATGAACAACGAGCGTTCATCTATTATCAAAAATCTGCTAACATGAATAATGTCAAAGGAATATATTATGTTGGATATTGTTATGATAAAGGAATTGGAGTTAAAAAAGATGAACACGAGGCGTCTATTTATTATCAAAAGTTTGTTAATATGAAATATGATAAGGGAACATTTAATATTGATGCTCTTGATCAAAATAAAACTGAAGAGACATTTATCGATATGAATAATGCTGATGAAGCATATGATGATCATCCAAATGAACTTGGAGTTGAAAACACACGTGCTGATATTGATGATGTTGATGAAGTATATGACGAAAATGACGCAGTTGAAGAATATAAACTTGGCAATAATTATGAACATGGAATTAGAGTTGAAAGAGATGAACATAAAGCATTTCTTCATTATAAAAAGTCTGCAGATCGAGGTAATACTGATGGAATGAATAAAGTTGGTGGTTTCTTTAGAAATGGAATTGGAGTTGAAAGAAACGAAGATGAAGCATTTAAATATTATAAAAAATCTGCTGACATGGGTAGTTCTGATGGAATGTTTGAACTTAGTTACTGTTACAGAAATGGAATTGGGGTTGAAATAGATGAAAATGAAGCATTTAAATGGTGTAAAAAATCTGCAAAATTGGGAAATCCTTTAGCACTAGATGAAATTGTTAATTTTTCATAATAAAAATGATTTAGAGCAACAAGACATTTACGAATAGCCAAAAAATTAAGTACTAAAAAATAAACAAAATTTTATATATTAAATAGTTTTATTTAGGGCTTTGTAATTTACCGGTATCGCTATCCCCAGGTTTATATCAAAATGCTGAAAGTAAAATCCCAAAAGTTAAAAATTCGAAACCGAAACTTAATTGTGATATCGGGTGATGTCTGAATTCCAATATTCAAGCACCGCGTATGATTAGTAATATATGTTACTAATCATAAACGGTTCTTGAATATTGGAACTCCGACAACACTCTACGCGACCATTAAGCTTCAAGGGGGTAGCGATACATCGCTATGGCGATAAAAAAAAAAGTTCTTTTATTTGATCGTATTTTATTACCATTTTTGTTTTTTAAAAAAAAAATTAGTCAAAGTATGACTTTCTCTCTTTTATTTCTGGTTTATTTTTTATTTTTTTAGTATTATTGGGTTTGTGTAAATTACAATAAGCTAACTTATATAGTAAATTGGGTTTTGTGTTCTCTGACAAGCACTAAAATAGTAACTTAATATACTGGCATTAGGTTTATCATTCTTTCAAATTAGTACGACAAATGATTGGTGAATCCTGTTAATTCTGTATATTATTATTGTTTTAACAATTATTTGGTTTAATAATGGCGTTATGCAGAATTCATAGGGTTCACAAAAATCTTTTGGTCAGTCTCTACCGTTATAGGGCTTCGAGGACTTTTGATCAGATTTGGTTATTTATTGGACTTTATTCATAGTATAAGTTTTGTTGCCTAATATTATACAAAGGTTTATTGGTTTATTACAATTCTCGATTAAATTTTGTCTTAAATGTAATATTATAAAATGTCCCCGAAGCCATGCAACTGTAGAGAATGACCCATTTGTCGCACTAATTCGCAAAGGATGATAAACTTGTTACAATCCTGAATTACAAAATTAGTTTGAACAAAATTTAGTAACATTTGAAGTGGAACAGAGTGGATCTATAATAAATCAGTTAAGTATTTCTTCCCTTTGTATTGAGCAGTGATTTTTGCAGGTAGGTGACGACGAATGTTCGTGAATAATGACAGTCCTGCAACAGACCAGAATAATTCATCCCCAAAATGTGTATGAATTTTCAAGCACGAAACTGCATTGTAATTTTATATTTTTATAATAAGAAAAAAGATATCTTGAAAATTTATACAAAACTCTCTACCCCTAGGCCATAGATTGAGACACTGAGTATCAAATAACACGGAATGTCCATGGAGCCCCAGCACAACACAAAACATGAATCATTTCATCATAACATGCAAGATCAGCAACAAAATTTGGAAGCGTGGTTACAAATACATGAAAATACTTCAACATATGGGATATGTCACAGTAAAAGGTGGTGATGGCCAAAAAATTTTTTCTGTAGTTTTTTATCAATAATTTTTTATGATCTAAATAATCTAATTTTGCAAAAGCAAAGTATTTACAAAAAATTTTTTTGACCTATTACCACTTTTTGCTATAGGGCCTCATATACCATTCCCAGCGAAAGTGATTACAGCTGAAAATGCGATGAATTACTGAATGGAAATCCCAGTAATCTGAACACACATAAATCTAGTTTGAAATCTACACGGAGAAAGATGGGACGACCCTTTATCAAGACTATCACTCCCTCGCATTCTAAGAACTGTATTGCAAGATTGATCGAAGTCCTAAATAGAAACAAAAGCCTCAAAAGTGATCAACTAAAGTTTTTGAAATTATAGTATGATCAGGAATAGTGCAATTCGGAATATAAAATCACAAATTGACCTTCAAAATAGTCAAAATAATTTGAATTACAACCACCAAATAAATAAAATAAATTGAAAAAACAGTTTAGTAGGAAGGTCGGATGCTTTAATCACAAACGTTTCTGAACAGATCGGAGCATGCCAGGCCAGAATGTCTTCTCTATAGAATATTAGTCTCCTGGCTTTCTAATTTGCGAATTTAGTGATAAACTCATAGTATTTTAATTCATCTATTTATTAATCAAATGCTTTAGTTATCTTCAAATTTAATACCAATATCTTAAATTTAATATCAATTAAGAGTTGTTTTTTTAATGAAAATATACAATATTTTAATGCTTAACTTTATGTAAACTACTTGCCCTCCTCTACCTGTCTCATTAACTTATTGCCTCCGATTGAATCAAAAAATCTAGTCAACTCATCGCAAATAAAATAAAAATAACCTCTAAACTCGATTTCTTTTGATGTACCCTTAACTTCTTTTGGTGTTTTTGATTTATCGATACCAATAAAAATTTTGCTCATCCTAGCTATATAAATCATAAATAAAGTTGTCCAAGTTGTGATAAAAAAACTGTTAATTGGTCTATCAATCATTATCCAAGTTACTTGGAGAAAGATGGGAGGTAAAAAACATATAAAAATTAAAGGTATTGTAGTTTTAGATAAAAAATATTCAAAACCATTAAATATTTGTGACTTTTGTGGTTCTTCTCTTTGTGGTAACTTGAATAACAAAAGTAAAATTAAAAACAAACAGAGAAAAAAAAGATTTATAGAGAAACACCATGCATAAATCTTACTAGTGGTATCAGCATTATTTACAGAAAATACTATTCTAATATACCAAAAAATTACGATAGAAAAGGATGTGGTACCTACTGATAAAAAGAAAAATGTTGCACGAAAAAGTTCTATTGAAATTCTACAAATCATATTATAATATTTAACAACACAATAATTCCACCATTTATCAGCTAAATCCTTTGGATTTTTTACTGCTTTGAAACAACCTTCAGTATTTTTGCGATCACGAATAGCCGTCATAATGATGGCCCCTAAGGTACAACCTATAGAAAACAATATCATAAATAAGGAATATATCATCAATTGTATATCCTTGTAAGCATATGCAACAAACAGAGGGATCCCCCAAACCATGATGTGATATACTAATTCATCAAAAAGCGGTATAATAACTTTGCTTCTAAAATCTTCAGTAATATGCATAACAAAAGGTATATATGGTCAATAATGATTGAAATATTTCTTTCAAATTCATAGAATTAAAAGCAATGAAAAAAAAATAATTGTACAAAAGTGTTTGTAGAATTAGAATTAATGAGTGATAACAATAATACAGAAGTAAGTGGCAATAAATAAAACGCGCCAAATTTTAAAATTATGTAATATATATTGATTGAGGTTCTATATGTTACATATACTACTGTATTACGTATTGTAAATATTATGATCAGCTGATAATTCAATTACCTAGGGAGGAGAGGATCTGCCCTTCTACGTAATACGTAATAGAAATTACGTACAAACGGCACTTCCCTAAACAATTGGGGAATGGACTAAGCGTCAGGCGCCCAAATTGTGATTGGTTAAAAATAACAAATCTCCTTCAACCCGAATCACAGATTGACCTTCAAAATAGTTAAATGTTTTTAATTACAACCATAAAATAAATTGGAGAGGAAAGGTTAGTGGGAAGGCCGGATGCTTTTGGGACATCTAATAAAAGTTGACCGAATGATTATTTGGCCGATTCGATAAGTTTGTGATTTCAGTAATGATCAATTACATAATGATGTTGCTTCAGATAAGTTGGATTTTAGATTTAGTTGCCGTTCTCCAGACAAGTTGGAAATTTCAGATTCAATTGTAGTTACTTAAGACAAGCTAGTCATTTTTAAAATGTTTACTATAGAAGGACAAGCTAAAGGTCCCTTAGTTGTTAGATCAACCGTTCATCTGATTCATAATACTTATATTAAAATGGTTAAATAAAAATAATAGATTTTTTTTTACTTTGATTTTAATTCTCATTGCAATTGCGACAATTACTATTAAAATCTTGGTTATAACTTGCGCCATATATTTTTTTTAATCCAGTCAATAAATTCTGGTTCATATTCGAACTTTTTTTTGAAAGCTTAAATTTGGAACCTTTTTTATATTTTGTGTTAAGATCTGTTGATTGGTAAGAATAATATTTGCCATAATTACTCGTACAGTCCAAATATATAATGGACATACATTCAAGCGAAAATTTAATTTTAAATGTGTCAACATGTACAGACACTTATCGATTGACAAATAATCATTCTGACAAATTTACCAGATGTTCAGAAAAACAGCTGTAATTTTGAACAACTGGTAATTTGACCGAATGATTGTTTGGCCGATTCGATAAGTTTTTGATTTCAGTAATGCGCGACTACGTAATAATGTGCATATCTTGCTAACGACAGAGATAATGTATATCGATATTTACAATAATACATTATAGGAGTACAATACAGCAATAGAAGTTTAAGAAGTGCAGGTATTGTGCGGCACAGTTACGAATTTTAGCACCGGAAATTTGTAACGCCGGGGTTTTGAGTCATGTAACGTGGGATGTAACGATAAGCGTGTGACTGGGTAATCGTATACCCGGTCTATAAATGCATTGATCCTTTAGAGGATTGGCTCTGAATAAATGCGATCTTTGATATTAAACTACACATGGTCGTTGACGTAGTAGTCGCCAAGGCGCTGTGTGATAGAATATTTGAACGATGCTCCAGTCAAGTGAATAGCCAAGCATAAAGGGGATATTATAAAACTCCGTGACGCCATATAACTTTACTAAATAATAAATTATTTCGTAACAGCTTGGCCAAACAAATTTTTTAATTTAGCCAATTTTTAATTTGTGAAAAGTGTCTTATATAGTTATGTATCAATTCCCCGATAGGTCATTCAACTGACATCACACAAGGCAAAAATTCACTAATAATATATATCGGCAGCGGCTTGTCAGGGAAAATGACCGTCGGGAAATTGAATAACATTGATCTTAAATATTATGAAAACTTGTACAATGGATCTAATTATCTATTCACAATAAAATTTAGATTTAGACATGGAATACAATTTAAAAGAATAAATCCAATTAATTATTACTAGCTACACAATTAGTTGACAAGATGTATAAATAATTGTCATTTTGCTAAAGTTAACCAGTAAAGCTAACTGATTGACTACCAATTTTTAAGTGATAAAATTTTATCGAATATTTACTTCGTTCTTTAATATTTAAAATATTTTCGATTTTTCAAATTAAACGAAAAAGTCGAATCTATGGATTCACAAAATACACAAACTGAATTTCAGGCAGAATTTCAATATGTTGATGGTAGAAGATTTCATAATGTGAAAAGTGCAATATATCCTCTACCAAATGATGATACCGAAATGGATAGATTAAATTTACAACATCTCATGGTAAGATATATGTGGCAAAGCAACTTTTCTGCTCCCATCGAACATATTTTGTCTAAACCAGGCGTCAAAATCCTCGATGTTGGGTATGTACGAAATTTTTACTATAATAGTTAGTACGTAATTATTCTCAATGAGAGAAAATCATGAATTTAAATTTTCAAATCTATAATATAGCACTTATTATAACTCATATAACAAAATTATGTTTTAAACTTTATATAAAAAACTGCTCTCAACATATCGTGATTTCTTCGGATTTTTTAATTAACATATTGGCAAATTCAATTCATCATAATCTTTATATTCAACAAAATATCTAACAAATATTTATTTAATAAAATAATAAATTTAAACTCTATTTTAGGTGTGGCACAGGGTCATGGTCAGTTGAAATGGCAACTACGTATGTTTGTTAATCTTTTATGTGAAACTAAAGTGTAATGTCAGAAGCATAGATAAGGATAATTTTGTTTACAATACTTATTTCTATTATAATTATTAATATTTATAATATTTCCTTAGATATCCTTTGGTTGAGTTTGTTGGGTTAGATATATCACCACTCCAATCGACACAGATAAAACCTAAAAATTTCACATTTATTAAAGCAAATGTTCTAGAAGGAATACCATTCGAGGATAATTATTTTGATTTTGTATTTCAACGATTTCTGCTTGGTGGGTATAAAAAAGAGAAGTGGCCTTCTGCAATAAATGAATTGGTCAGAGTTTTAAAACCGGGTGGATTTCTAGAAGTATGCTTATTTGAAAATTGATATTTAGTTTGTTAATATTTTTTAAATAATCGTTTTTTATTTAAAAAAAAAATAAAAGTTATGCGAACCTTCTCGGATGGTTGATTTAGATCCAGCATCTCGGCGTTTATATGATGGTGGTATGTGCTTTAAAGTTATATATTAAATTTATTCTTTTACTTAGATAATGAATGCTCTTCAATTAAATAAATTATCATGAAGAAATGGAAATAATTGAACAACAAGGCTCAGATATTTACATATATCAAAAGTTAGAGAACTATTTACAAAGCCAAGGTTTTCTTTCTTATCTGATTACATAATCATTTTTAGAACTGATAGTTTTGTTATAATAATTTTACTAATAATTATATACTCTCTAAATTAGGCCAATTAGAAAATATTAAAAACGATCAAAGACTATATCCTCATGGCATAAAGTATAATAATGATTTTCAACTTATTAAAATGGTAATGTACTGTACAAAAATTTCATCGTTTCATGTTCAAAGAAATTAATATTAAAAAAAAATTTAATTATGGTATGAAATAAATAGGCCATCAGAAATACCATTTCCACGTTTAATATTTTTAAACCTACTTTATTAAATAAGTTTCAAATTTCGAGCGAAGAATTTGATGAATTGATTAAAACTTCAGAAAAGGAATTATTTGAATTTGATACATATCTTTATTTCGGTCGGTTTTACGCAAGTAAAGTTATTGAAAATAATATTGAAACTACTTTAAAGTAGCACCATTTTACTGACATATCACGTATGATATGCATAAATTATTTAACTTTAACTTGTTCATACGTAGCATATTTATTTCTTTTTATATAGAATATCTATTTGAATATTTTGAATATTTTCTACTTTCCAATTTATTAATAGCATTTATTGCAAGCTATTAATATTATATTATAATTGGCGTTAAAATTAAGTAATAAACATTAGGGGTTTCATAGTTAACTTATTTTGAAAATAAGCGGGAGTTTGAAAAGCTCTATTTTTGGTTTGAAATTTCGAAACCAGAAAATGAAATAGGAGTTATCCGTTGATAAATATGCAAACGTTTTTTTTTTAAAAAAAAATAAAGGATTTACGATCGTAAAAATATCATTATATAAATAAGCTTATAAGGAGGAATAAATAAGATTTATAGGTCACTGATTTCGAAAAAGAATACGTCACTAATTTAATTCGAAATCAGAGAAACCTGAACCTTAGCTCTGCAACTATGGATGAGCAAAGTAATTTTGAAAGTAATAATGATCTATGACTAATCCCTTACTTCTGTACTTAATATTAAGTAATATTAAATATTTATCACATTCTATTACTTATTACGTATACAAAACACATGATAACAGTGATCAAAATTGAGATTGAACGAAAAATTGCTGCTAAGAATAAAATTAATATTGCAAGGTAATATTAAGTAATATTAAGTAATAATATGTGTCGCGGATTAATATGAGGTTTGCCCAACCTGAGGCATTCACATGATTTTTATTTGCAGTATAAAACTAACGTGAGGCGGGCCCATATTTAAACCCTATTAATACATTTCCACCCTAATATTCAGTCCCTAAAATCTCAACCCAACCCTAAAAAAACCCTCAACCGCCAAGAAGACTCCTAAAAAAAAAAAAAAAAAAAAAAAGACCAAGCCTAAAAGAACCAGCTTAGACAGAAACAAGAAGAAACGTATGTCTTAAACAAACGTCAAAAAAAAAAAACTTAAAAAAAAAAAACTGTTTTTTTTTAATTTTTATTAGGTGAAGATGATACCACAGCATCAATTTTTTTTTCAATATTTTTTTTGATGTGCCGAATTCTTTTCACAGGACAACGAATAGAACTGCCTTCAGACATTTCAACCACAATAGTCTTGTTATTATTAGTCAAACCAACTACGGTTTCTGTTTCCGTGAAGTTGGTTTGAAGCTTTCTTTTTTGTGTTGCCGGGTTCATATTGGTATTGGGGGCAATTGCAACCAGTGTTGTCATGTCTACTATGTCCAAGACTTTTTTGCCCATGTCCACGTCCACATGTCCACAACTGTCCAAAGAATATTTAGGCTTTAAAATTTAATATATTAGTTTAAAAAAAACATGATTATATATTTTTTATAGTTTTGAATATTTTTCTGAAAAGAAAAAAATAGGTTATCTTAATAAAATTTTAAGTAATTTAGATTTGTTTTTTTGTCCACAATTGTCCACAAATTGTCCAAAGCTGTCCCATGACAACACTGATTGCAACCAACTGACCAGGTTTGTAGGTATTTTTGCGGTGATGAACACTTGAATTTTTTTGCATTCGTTTTCTTGTTTTTTTAAGTTGTTTGTTGACTTCATCATGAATTATTGAAACTTTTTCTAAATGGTCTTTTACGATTTGAGGCGTTGTTTGTGTTTCTTGCACTTCTATTTCCTGAAAGTTGACGGGATCAGTGGGATTGAATTGCTGGTATATGCCGAGGAGTTTGTAGCCAAACATTACTTCACGAGGAGTTTTTCCATGAGCACTATGTTGGGTGGTATTATAGGAAAAAACAAATTTTAATAACTGGTCTTTCCAATTAACATTTTGTAGTTGCAATTCTTCATTCCACAACATTTTCGTAAATTCACGTCCAACCATTTGATTTAGATGTTCAACTTGCTCTTGGGACATCAGATGCCTTGGACAGCCATGTCGAATTGTAATCACAAGTGCTTCGCAAATACATTTAGTAACGTTGGCAGTAAATTCTTTACCATTGTCAGATTGCAAGATGGATGGCGCACCCCATTGAGAAAATAAAGAGATCAAAGCTTCACCGACAACATTAGCTTCTTTAGATTTAATTGGAATAGCCCACAAAAATTTCGAAAAGATACAAACTACAGTAAGAAGCCAAGAAAACTCATCATTCATATCTTTGTATGCTGTGAAATCCACAAGGTCCATTTGAAGATATTCCATTGGACCATAACTTACAACTGGTGTCAGGTAATCTTTTTCTTTAATCGAGGTAGTTCGATTACAGGTGTTACAGTTTCGAACATACTCACAAACTTCCTTTTTTGTGATGCCAATATGATGCGCTATAATTTTTTTATGACAATCATTCGCATTAATATGACGATCATTGTCGTGAAATTGTTTAAGCAAAGATTGATGAAACTCTAAGTCCCACATGGGAACAAAATGACGAAGTGGTTGATCCTTAATTTGTGCATAAAGATGGTCATTTTCTAGACGCCACAGTTTCATTTTGCGCTTAAAGTTCCATCAGTTTTTTGGGGTTATCGACGTAGGTATGGTTCTACTACAAAGGTAGACGACAATATCCTGATATGCTTCAGATGTTTGCGGAAAATCAGCTTCATAAACCATTGTACGATTTTTTATTTGTAAAAAAAAAATCTTTTTTTTTTTTTGTAAGAAAAAAAGATTTTTTTCTCTCTTTTTTAGCATATTTATAATCACGAAATATATCAGTACATACGTAGTGAATATATCATTAATAAAAAACATAATAATGCAAAAGTATGGGCTCTTCAAGCCGTATTATATAGATAATGCAAGGGCGAACATTTAGCATCGCTTCATTATATCGTATTGAAAATGTGTAAGTAAAATTGTATAGTTTTTAAATTTTGGAATCGTCTGTCTTTTTTAT